TATATTCCCATCTTTTTAATTTTTTTCAAAAATACCCTTGGGCAAGTATCAAAGTTTTAAAATCTATTTTTTCACTAATTTTCTACTTTTCATATTTTTTTAGATTTTATTTGTATTTTTTTAAGGGCAAATATCTCTATATTCTCATTTTTAGGTTTCATTTCTTGATAAACCCAATGTTTCAAAAGATATCTTCTAACCCCTGACAACTTTAAACCTATTTTTTAACCTAAATAAATGTGAAAAAAATATGCATTTTTTAAACCCAATCATTTCTCTCTCTTCACTTATATACCCCAAACTTATTTCTTTCTCTCTCTTCTTGTCTTTCTCACTCTTTCTCTCCTCTTGTATTTCTCCAAACACCTATCTCTTTCCTCTCGGTATCTTCTCAACTCCATGAAGTCTTTATCTCTCTCTAGAAGTTTGGGGGAAGACCTTTAGAAAAAGCACGTCTTTTAAGATTTGTTTGGCTTAAAAAAATAAGTTTAAATTCGCTCAGAAGGTTAGAAAAAATAAAATTTATAAATTTTATGCCCCAAGATATCTTTTAAAACCTTAGGTCTATTGTGAAATGAAACTTAAAAATAGGAGATATGAAGATATTTCCTTTTTTTTAGCACTTTTGGGATTGGTTGGGACCCGTCGGACTAGACCAGTTGAACTGGCCAGTTTACCAGTTACTCCTGTTGAGGATTGATGTCTTGTATTCTGAAGAAATAGATTTGCCAAGGTAGAGTAAAAAAGACGACTCCAGAGGGCCGTTAAAAGCTCTAAAGGGATTCGATATATCTGGGACTTGATATGTATCTGTATAAGGGTATTTCAGTAATTTGTACTGTTTATCTGAGACTCGATATATATTGTTGCGATTGGGGGTTCATCTAGGGTTAAGGGTTAAGGGAAAACCGCAGATCTCTTTGTAATTAGATAAAAACAGAGAGGCGTGAGGAAGAGAGCGGATTGTAACTCTATTTTTATTGTCAGTAAAGAAGCTTTAATATCTCGTAGATGTAGGCATGTTGCCAAACCACGTATATCTTTGCGTTGTGGTTGGTTGTCTCTTTCTTTTGGGTTTGTTTCTTCTTTATTGTTTTCGTGGATTGCTTTTCGTTTTTACAACTTCGAGGCTCGGTGTCCCTCTAAACCCAAACAGAGCTACATAAAACTATAGAGAAAGTGCTATTACACTAACCTGTTTCTCTCTACACCATTCCTGTGCCTATGATTTTCAGGGACTACTCGGATACTTCAGCTTGCTAGAAGGATGCTTGGCCATGATCAGAGACCACCAGCGCAATCACACCATCAGCTACCAATGGGTGGTGCGTGCCCGCCTTGACTCCTTTTGGTCTGGCCCCCTCCCTCCTACTGCCTTCGTCCCCGACACATACATAGCCCCCCTCGGTCTCCAATTCAGCGGCCTCAACGACAGATTCAGTGTTAGCAGCTTCCAAGTCTTCGAGGTCGCCATGTCTCGACTCTCTGCTGCCTCAGCATTGCATGCAAAAGGTCTGAGAAAACTCAACTCCGAGAAGACTCTTGCCAAAGTTCTAGAAGAGGCCAAGGTCGAGTGGGACATCCAGGCAAGTTCAAAATATCCGCTTATACCTGAAAACATCTACAACTATATCAGTAAATGATCCTATCCAAAACTAAATTAACCTTGTTTTTTCCTCTATACTTTCAAAAAGCTAACTTCTAATCTACTTGAAAAAATTGATAAGGACCTGTCTTCTCCAAAATTATCAATAAAAAAAAAAAAAAAGCTTGGTTCTATTTATTTTTTAGGATGGTAGAGTACAACAAAGTTTAGCCATCATATAAGTCACAATTATATTTAGCTGTCATATGTAAAATCTATATATTGGGGGTGTGTCATAAATTTTTTAAAATTCCGACTTTGAGCCCGTCAATAGCACACTTCAATAGCCAGGTTTCACATGTAATGACTTAGATTAATTGACCTTCTTGTATAGAAGGTAAATATTATCATATGATTTTTGTCTTTTTCGAAATAACGGACGCTTGTTGTGGCCTTTACAACATATTGAATAAAGGATTTATGAAGGAAAAAATTTATACAAGTTGCAACTTTAAAATGTAGAATTAAAGATGCACCTCAAAAATCCATTGGAAAACATTGTTTTAGTGTTGAAAAAACCTCTAATCGAGATGCATGAATATAAAAAACAAAGACGAAAATATTTTGAGCCCAAAAAATAGTGTATCTTGCAACAGATTATCTAGACCGTTCATTTTCAAGATTTTCATATGTTTATAGATCTACTTGATTTTAACCATTTTTAAAGTTAAAATTTTATAGTTAGATATGAAAATAGATTTTCAAATAACCTTAAGAATTTTTTACTCTAAAATTATATGGTATGATAAAATTTGGAGGTGGGCATCAATTGGATTGTTTAAAGTTGCAGCCTTATAGAAACCACACCTTTGTGAAAACACAGGTAAGAAATAAACTATTAACCATTTTATTTTTTATTTAATGTTAGAAAACCATTTAATTACACATAATTGGGATAATTGAAAATGCATAGAATGTTAAATATTTGATAAGTAACTTCAGTACAATGTTTAGTTGAGAAGAAAAAGGAAAATTGTTATCCTATATTAGAAACAACATTTTGGCAAACTTATGACTAGATTTGCATCTCTTGCTAGCAATGTCATTACTTGCCTGTGTGGGCCAGCATGAATATAGACAACCGCATAAATGACGATAGTGACTTCTGACTGAATTATTTTAGCCGATAGCCAAAAAAGAGTTTTTTGTTTTTTACTTTTATATAGCCGGCAGAAACGGCCGGAGCTGAGGCTCTAAACAATTAAATTAGAGGATTTCAATATTGGACCTCTTTGAAGAACACCACAAAAGGTAGTCCGATGATGTTAATATTGGACCGACTGGGCACAACCCTACTATCAAACCGCATTTCAATTTTTTAGTTTTTTTTTTGCCCGTGCATAATTCATTCTTTTAGTTAAAAAATGTATACAATGAGATGAATTCCTTTTGGCTCGGATCCATTTTTTATAAAGTTCATACTTTGAATATGGTGAATACTATGCTCATAGCAATCCAATTTCATGACTCACAGGTAAAAGCGGTTGTAACCTTTTTGTACTACTGATATTTCTGTCACTTTTAGGCTCTACCTTTCTGCATAGTGAGTGAGAGGCGATACCCATGGCCCCCAGGCAGGTGGGGGTTGGCTGTGGCAAAAATGACATTGCATGACCCTCCGTTGAGCGGGGCAGAGTGTCGGCCATGTCGTTCGGAATGCACT